TATGGTTTATGGGAAGACTCTTGGAAGCCCTGGAAAGTCTTTTAACAAAACTTAATTACACCTAAAAAAGTAAATTTTAAGCATTACTGTCTGGTTTTGCTAAAAAATCATACTTTATAAAGAGCTTGAGATATCATTAATTATTCATGTGTTTTCTTAGTGCCCATTGTCATTTTGCTTGATAGTTTTTTAACGCACCAGTTGTCTCCCACCAAGGTAGGGTGACTCAAAAAAGATAGAACACTTTTAACATCATTCACCTTATCAGTGTCTTACCAGAGGTGTTCTGATATTACAGTTCAGATGCCCCTCCAAACTGCAAATATCCCCACACCTCTAAGACTCCAGTCTGGCTGACAGGTTTTCCCAGAATCCCTTCACAAAATGTTGCCCTGTTCATTCTCCAGCAGCTTGTCAAGTTCAAAAAAAAAAAAAAAAAAAAAAAAAAAACTTTATCTCCACTCCTATTTTACATGCACGCACACCTGTTAGATGTCCAAGCCCATCCATCCTTTCCTAGGGCAACCCCTCACCCCCACCTTCCTTCCACTACTAATGTATACACCCCTCCAAATTGGTACTAGGTCAGTAGACAGCATCTACCCAAGGATGTACTCCCATCCTGCCAGATGAGTATGAAACAGAAACCTTTGTTTAACACAATGATAGAATTGCTGGTGTCTTTTCTTTCTGTCTAATAAACATGCAGGGTAACAGGTACATCTTCCTACTTCTTACTTACACACTGCACATGCATGTTTACATATATGTATACACACCCATCTGAGTTTTCTTCTGTTTTCTTAGTAGTTTTTATTTATTTCCTTTCATATTTATTGGGAAGAGGAACAAGAATCCTTTCTCCATAAACTAGGCGTATCGTAAAAGGCGGTTAAAATGGCGGGAGCAATCCCTTCTCCTGTATAAATTACTAGAAATAAGAAGGATTTTTTTTTTTTTCAACAAGTCGTCTGTCTCCCACTGAGGCAGGGTAACCCAAAGAGAAAGAAAATCCCCAAAAAGAAAATACTTTCATCATCATTCAACACTTTCATCTCACTCACACATAATCACTGTTTTTGCAGAGACGCCCAGAATACAACAGTTTAGAAGTATATACGTATAAAAATACACAGTATATCTCTCCAAACTGCCAATATCCCAAACCCCTCCTTTAGAGTGCAGGCATTGTACTTCCCATTTCCAGGACTCTAGTCCGGTTATATAAAATAACCAGTTTCCCTGAATCCCTTCACTAAATATTACCCTGCTCACACTCCAACAGCTTGTCAGGTCCCAAATACCATTTGTCTCCATTCACTCCTATCTAACACGCTCACGCACGCTTCCTGGAAGTCCAAACCCCTCGCCCACAACACCTCCTTTACCCCTCCCTCCAACTTTTTCGAGGACGACCCCTACCCCGCATTCCTTCCCCTACAGATTTATACGCTCTGCATGTCATTCTACTTTGATCCATTTCTCTAAATGACCAAACCACCTCAACAAACCCTCTTCAGCCCTCTGACTAATAGTTTTATTAACTCCACACCTTCACCTAATTTCCACACTCCGAATTTTCTGCATAATATTTACACCACACATTCCTCTTGGACAGGACATCTCCACTGCCTCCAACCACCTCCTTGCTGCAGCATTTACAACCCAAGCTTCACACCCATTTAAGAGTGTTGATACTACTATACTTTCATACATTCCCTTCTTTGCCTCCATGGATAACATTTTTTGCCTCCACATATTCCTCAATGCACCACTCACCTTTTTTCCTTCATCAATTCTATGATTAACCTCATCCTTCATAAATCCATCCACTGACACGTCAACTCCCAAATATCTGAAAACATTCACTTCTTCCATACTCCTCCTCCCCAATTTGATATCCAATTTTTCTTTATCTAAATCATTTGATACTCTCATCACCTTACTCTTTTCTATGTTCACTTTCAACTTTCTACCTTTACACACATTCCCAAATTCGTCCACTAACCTTTGCAATTTTTCTTTAGAATCTCCCATAAGCACAGTATCATCAGCAAAAAGTAACTGTGTCACTTCCCATTTTGTATTTAATTCCCCTTAATTTAATCCCACCCCTCTCCCGAACACCCTAGCATTTACTTCTTTTACAACCCCATCTATAAATATATTAAACAACCATGGTGACATTACACATCCCTGTCTAAGACCTACTTTTACCGGGAAGTAGTCTCCCTCTCTTCTACACACCCTAACCTGAGCCTCCCTATCCTCATAAAAACTCTTTACAGCATTTAGTAACTTACCACCTATTCCATACACTTGCAACATCTGCCACATTGCTCCCCTATCCACTCTATCATATGCCTTTTCTAAATCCATAAATGCAATAAAAACTTCCCTACCTTTATCTAAATACTGCTCACATATATGCTTCAATGCAAACACATGATCTACACATCCCCTACCCACTCTAAAACCTCCTTGCTCATCCGCAATTCTACATTCTGTCTTACCTCTAATTCTTTCAATAATGACCCTACCGTACACTTTTCCTGGTATGCTCAGTAAACTTATTTCTCTGTAATTTTTACAATCTCTTTTGTCCCCTTCCCTTTATATAAAGGGACTATACATGCTCTCTGCCAATCCCTAGGTACCTTCCCCTCTTTCATACATTTATTAAACAAATATACCAACCGCTCCAACACTATGTCCCCTCCCCTGCTTTTAACATTTCTGTCATGATCCCGTCAGTTCCAGCTGCTTTACCCCCTTTCATTCTACGTAATGCCTCACGCACCTCCCCCACACTCACATCCTGCTCTTCTTCACTCCTAAAAGATGATATACCTCCTTGGCCAGTGCATGAAATTACCGCCTCCCTTTCTTCGTCGACATTTATCCAAAACCTCCATCTCCCCATCTTCTAACTCCCCTTCTCTTTTTTTAACTGATAAATCCATTTGTTCCTTAGGCTTTCTTAACTTTTGTAACTCCAAAATTTTTTCTTATTTTCATTAAAATTCCTTGACAGTACCTCTCCCACTCTATTATCTGCTCTCCTTTTGCACTCTCTCACCACTCTCTTCACCTTTCTTTTACTCTCCATATACTCTACCCTTCTTATAACACGACTATTAAATGGGAAAACTAACTATAGGATTTCAAGGAAAGTGGGCTCATCGTGTCTTATGAATGTCATTATTAGCAGAACAGAGCAGTATTTATTGAAATATGGTATTTTTTAAACTATTCTGAAAAATGAATTTTCCTATTATTCCTGCTTTTGGGAGTCACATCAGTTTCAGAAATCTAACTCTTCATAATTATAAAGTTGCACTGTACGTATTTATAATTATAGGAGCAGAGCTATTCTCCCAGTGTCCAGTCATCTTTAGTTTATTCATTATATAAAGTTTTAAATTTCCAGTGGTTGTAGCATGTGCTACCTGCTCTTTCCATTTGTTTAATTTTTCCACCACTTTGTAAAGAAAAATTTCTCAGTATCTCTTCAGCTCCATTTTTTCTTAATTTATATCTGTGGCCTTATATTATCTCTGTTGGTGGTACCAAAAAATGTTTATCTATTCTTTCACATCTTTCATAAGCTTATATGTTATATCGCTTCATTTTCTCCTATCAACCATTGTGGGCATGTGATGAATGGCTTTGAAAACTGACAAGTAGAAGAATTGAGACACTTATGCAACACATGGGAATCTTTATTGAAGAAACGTTTCGCCACACAGTGGCTTCATCAGTCCAATTCAGAGTAGAATTGGGTAAGGAGAGGAGAAGTTTGAGGTAATCAGTCCCTCAACCTGGAATCCATGTGTTCAGTCCATCACTCTTGTAGGAAGTGCAGCATAGGGCCAGAGAGGTGGCTTATATACTGCAGACAGATGAGGTGAAGCAGGAGGAGGCGGGATCACAGTGGGACCTGCCACTAGTGTAAGTAGGTCATCGTCCAAAGGTTGGGCAAGCGTTGAAGTCTTTGTGCCAAGATCCCATGATGTTGCAGTGTCTGACAGATGTGATGAATGGTTTTGAAAACCGACAAATTGAAGAATTGAGACACTTATGCAACACATGGGAATCTTTATTGAAGAAACGTTTTGCCACACAGTGGCTTCATCACATCTGTCAGACACTGCAACATCATGGGATCTTGGTACAAAGACTTCAACGCTTGTCCAACCTTTGGACGATGACCACTGTGATCCCGCCTCCTCCTGCTTCACCTCATCTGTCTGCAGTATATAAGCCACCTCTCTGGCCCTATGCTGCACTTCCTCAAGAGTGATGGACTGAACACATGGATTCCAGGTTGAGGGACTGATTACCTCAAACTTCTCCTCTCCTTACCCAATTCTACTTTGTATTGGACTGTCGAAGCCACTGTGTGGCGAAACGTTTCTTCCATAAAGATTCCTATGTGTTGCATAAGTGTCTCAATTCTTCATTGTGGGCATCTTCAGTGTTCTCAGTCTTTCATGATAACTCATATTTTTGAGATCTAGAATGCATTTTGTAGCTCTTCTTTGGACCTTTTCTGTTAATTCAAATGATTTTAAGGTGTGAACACCACAAAACGGCTTCATATACCAGTTTTGGCCTAATATATATATTGTTACCAGCTTATCTGTGATTTTGTCTGCAACCTGCATCAAGGACACTTCTAATCTTCAGCCTGGTCTGAGGCCAGGCTTTCAGAAATCCACAACCCTCCTTCACCTCTTTTAATATAAGAAATTTTTCTGGAATAAATATAAAATACATCAAGAAAGTAGACAGGTTTCTTCAGAAGTGCCTGTTCATCAAGAATGTGTGTAATATGAGCATGTAGCCAGTAATAGTCTGGTTAACCCGGCAGTTACTAGGAAAGCCTTGCCACAGATTTGGATGCTAGAATATGAGATCTCTCAAAACTGTTCATAGATAGGTCATAGTGTTCATGGAAAACTCTGTATTAGGCATGAAAATATACTTTTCTTTTCCAGGTTCCTCAAATTCCCAAGATTCTTTTCCACCAGCGGGGTCAAATAGCAGTTCGATGGATGGGTTTTCCAATGGCCCACATGTACCTGGGGGACCAGGTGTGCCTGGCCCATACCCACAATACCCACCCTCTTCGGAGTATGGTGGCCATATGCCACAACGACCACCGTCACAATCAACTTCTGGTGAGTATTGTAGTTTTGCCTTAATACTTCCCTACTTAGTAGATTCACACAGCTAGAGCTTTACAAAGTGAATTATATATTCTATTTGTAGGAAATCTGTGAAGTGTTTTTCTCTCATGATTTTCACTATAGTATATACTTTTATCTTTATTTATTTTTCTTCGGGTAGAAGTTACTCTTCTTCAGGAAAATAATTTCAGAAGTTTGGGCTTCAAGAAGTGTTGATTAATGCAGTAGTTTGTGAATGTTGGAAGTGAATAATTTACTGACTAAGGATAGATTATTAAACTTTTATTAAAAAAAAAAATGAAAATTTCTCAAAATGTTAAGGCTAAATTATATCTTTTAGAGGTACCAAATGGAACTGATAACTATTTTTCTTAAGCAGTGTACACTTGATAGTGTATTAGTTTTAGTTATTCATAGATGCATAGCCACAGTAAAAAATAATAATTTTTTTTCTTTAGTTATTACTTTTATATGACACAGTCTCAAAGCACTTATTTAATCTTATTATTTACTATCATTCACAGCTATCACCTTTAACTATCATTCAATCTTATTCTCTACTTTCATTCACAGCAGTCATATTTAACTATCATTTAATTTTCTTTACTATCAATCACAGCAGTCACATTTAACAATCATTCAATCTTATTCTTTACTATCAGTCACAGCAATCACATTTAACTATCAGTCTTATTCTTTACTTTCATTCACAGCAATCACATTTAACTTTCAGTCTTATTCTTTACTTTCATTCACAGCAATCAAATTTAACTATAATTCTGAACACTCTTTCAATCTTATTCTTTACTATCAATCACAACAGTTACACTTAACTCTCATTTGGAGCACACTTTCAATCTTATTCTTTTATCATTCAGAGCAGACTTTTTTTTTTACTGTACGTCAAAGAACTTGTTCATTTTTATTCTTTTATTATCCTTCACTAATTTAATTCCCTATACAGTGGAACCTCAGTTTTCGTATGCCCTAGTATGTATGTAAAATCATAGTTATTCTCTCTCAAATGGTTTTTTTTTTTTTTGTTAATATTTTTGGGTGTCTGGAACAGATTAATTAGATTTACATTATTTCTTATGGGAAATATTAACAAAAAATACCTTTTATAGAGAATAATTATGGTTTTTGGGGAAGTGGAATAAGAATCGTTCCTCCATAAGCCATGCATGTTGTAAAAGTCAACAAAAATGCTGGAAACAATGAGCTAGTAATCCCTTTTAGTGTATAGCCTACTAAAAAGAAAAAGAAGAAAACTGTGGGATGTATAAATGTGCATGGATGTTGAGCAAATGATTAGAAAGAGATGATTGTAGATGTTATGAATGAGAAGAATCTGGATGTCCTGGCTTTAAGTGAAACAAAGCTGAAGGGGATAGGAGAATTTCAGTGGGGAGAAATAAATGGGATTAGGTCAGGGGTTTCACATAGAGTTAGAGCTAAAGAAGGAGTAGCAATAATGTTGAAGGATAAGTTATGGCAGGAAAAGAGGGAATATAAATATATAAATTCAAGGATTATGTGGAGTAAAATAAGGGTTGGATGTAAGTATTTATGCACCTGGAGAAAAGAAATGTAGAGGAGAGAGAGAGAGATTTTTAATGTTGAGTGAATGCATGGGGAGTTTTGAACCAAGTGAGAGAGTACAGTGGACCCCCGGTTTGCGATATTAATCCATTCCTGAGAGCTCATCGTAAACCAAAATTATCGGAAAGCAAATAAATTTTCCTCATAAGAAATAATGGAAATCAAATTAATTCCTGCAAGACACTCAAAAGTATGAAAAAAAAATTTTACCACATGAAATACTTAAGTTTAATGCACACAAACTGAAGAAGACATGCACAGTTTGTAGTACTCTACTAACAATAGAATACGTGACACTTACCTTTAATGAAGATCTGGTGATGATTGAAGGGATGGGAGGAGGGGAGAGTGTCGAACTTATTGTTTAGAAGGGGAATCCCTTCCATTAGGACTTGAGGTAGCAAGTCCTTTTCCGGGGTTCTCTTCTTCTTTTAATGCCACTAGGACCAGCTTGAGAGTCACTGGACTTCTGTCGCACAACATATCTGTCCATAGAGGCCTGTACCTCTCGTTCAGGTTTCAAGTCTTCACTGTCTATGTAGTCCTTGAATTCCTTCACATATTTTTCAGCTGCTTTTTGGTCCGAACTGGCAGCCTCACCATGCCTAATCACACTATGTATGCCACTACGATTCTTAAATCTTTCAAACCAACCTTTGCTGACCTTAAATTCACTCACATCACCACTAGTTGCAGGCAATTTCTTTACCAAATCGTCATGCAACTGCCTAGCCTTTTCACAAATGATCGCTTGAGAGATGCTATCTCCTGCTATCTGTTTTTCATTTATCCACACCAACAACAGTCTCTCAACATCTTCTAACATTTGCGGTCGCTGTTTCGTAATCACAGTTGCACCTTTTGCAACATCAGCTTCCTTGATTGCCGTTTTCCTGGTCACTATAGTAGCGATGGTTGATTGGGATTTTGTATACAACCTGGCCAGCTCCAACACATGCACTCGACTTTTGTACTTTGCAATTATCTCTTTCTTCATTTCAATAGTCATTAGCACCGTTTTTCTCAAAGGGTTGGCACTAGAAGCTTTCTTGGGGCCCATGGTGACTTATTTTACAGAAACAAGCACCAAAAACACTGTGATAATATGGAATGTACCGAATGTATCCTTAGATGCGAGCACACTGGCTGGCTTGTAAACACTGGCACACACGGGGCAGTTCAGGCCACATGTGGACACGTCTCGGACGAATCGCGTATACTGGGTTTTTTAACGGGAACCGAGGCAAAATTTTTGCGTTAAAATGTATCGAATACCGGATTTATCGGATACCGATGCCATCGCAAACCGGGGGTCCAGTGTACTTGTGGTTAGGGATCTCAATGCTAAAGTGAGTAAAAATATTGTGGAGGGAGTAGTAGGTAAATTTGGGGTGCCAGGGGTAAATGAAAATGGGGAGCCTTTAATTGAACTATGTGTGGAAAAAGGTTTGGTAATAAGTAATACATATTTTACCAAAAAAGAGGTTAAATAAGTACAGCTGGGTCCCACTTATACGGCGGGTTAGGTTCCAGGCTGTCGCCGGAAAGCAGACATCGCCGGAAGGCAGAACACCATTTTTTCCATTTATAAATGCATATAAATGCCAGACAACAAGTTTACACAAAATTATATTAAGTTAGTAATAGAACTAGGCATTAAAAACACACAAAGTAACATACATTCACAGTAAATTCATTACTTATCTTAAAGTATTTGTAATCTTAATGTAGGGAGAGAGGTGAGTAGTACTTGTTTGTAGGAAGTCAGGTGCAGGTAGCCCAGGTGTAGGTAGCCCTGGCTCCCCGTCTCATACTTAATATACGATATTTAAAACATCTCAGAGAGGTAAAATACACATACAGTACACTCATTATTTACCTTAAAATATGTGTAGTCTTAATATAGGAAGAGAGGTGAGTAGTATTTATTTGTAGGAAGTCAGTGTAGGTAGCCGGTAGGTGTAGCCTGCCTGGGCTACACCTACCGGCTACCTACACCATGGCCTAGAGCCATATTATTAACATCGACATACCTTGTTCACTGAATTTAATAATTTCTAACAACTACCTTTAGATGCCATCATTAACGAAGGTAGAAGTAATGAATAATTCATGCCGAAAATTGTAAACAAAAGTGGAGTGGGGGAGTTGCTGGACCAAACGCAGATTCATACACGTTTTCTCTGATGGCTAAACAGAGAAAACGTAATGTTGTCCCTTCACCCGGCTACCACACAGCTCCACAAGTATTATTATCAGAGCACACATAAAATATGCAATAAATGCCAGACAACAAGTTTACACTAACTTATATTAAGTTAGCAATAGAAATAGGCATTAAAAGCACAATAAAAGGTAAGATACACACAGTACACTTATTACTTAGCTTAAAATATTAATATTAATGTGTGAGAGGTGAGTGGCAGGGTGTTTATTGAATAAAATCAGAATGGAACACCATCATCCTCTAACTTGGCATTTAAAGCAAGAGGCTTACGACTTCTCTTTTTATCACAGCTAACCTTAGACGCCATCGTCATTGAGAGCCAACTAGTTAGCGAAAGAGTAAACGAGAGAGAGAATGAGATACAGAGTTCAGACAATGTAAGAACACGAACTGAACAGGTAGTGGGTGATCACATGGTCAGGCGAAATAAATGCGTATTAATATGTGTGTACTTTTAGTTCATTCACGTACATTTGTAAGAGTTTGTAAAACAATTACCTCAACATTTTTTTATTATAATAATAATTACCTCACAATACAAATACTCTTACATTGTGTACAAGTTAGTTGAGAATAAACAAACAACAACACACCTTTTTTAGAGTGAATGAAGATAATATTAATAATAATAATCTTCTTTCTTCTTTCAACAAACCGGTCGTATCCCACCAAGGTAGGGTGGCCCAAAAAGAAAAACAAAAGTTTCTCTTTTTAAATTTAGTAATTTATACAAGAGAAGGGGTTACTAGCCCCTTGTTCCCGGCATTTTAGTCGCCTCTTACAACACGCATGGCTTACGGAGGAAGAATTCTGTTCCACTTCCCCATGGAGATAAGAGGAAATAAACAAAAACAAGAACTAGAGAGAAAATAGCAGAAAATCCAGAGGGGCATGTGTATATATATGCTTGTACATGTATGTGTAGTGTGACCTAAGTGTAAGTAGAAGTAGCAAGACGTACCTGAAATCTTGCATGTTTATGAGACAGAAAAAAGGACACGAGCAATCCTACCATCATGTAAAACAATTACAGGCTTTCGTTTTACACTCACTTGGCAGGATGGTAGTACCTCCCTGGGTGGTTGCTGTCTACCAACCTACTACCTTTAACCCCTTGACTGTCGCAGCCCCCAATCCTGAGGTGTCTCCTGGTGTCACAAAA